GTTAAAAATGTGTTTGAACCGAACCGTTGTCTAACCCGCCGTGCTTGAAACGAAAGTTTTCGATCAGTGTCTGCCTCCCAGTGTTAATTTATGGATGCTAAATATCGGCTGTAGGCGTTAGACCTGTCTATAAACTAAAAACGAAATAATACAGAGTGGAAAGATGTGTTGGAATGGTATGGAGAAATAAAAAGACGGATGAATTGATAGGAATACAAAGAGGAGTCTGCAAGAACTCGTCACAAGACTAACGGATCATCACTGGATAACACAGACATTAATTTGGCTTCCAAGAAAGAACGTTGTTTTTGGATCGACGGTAAGACGAGCTCGAAACATTTGCTGGATCAACATAAATAAGAGTCGCAAAAGACAGAATTTTGGATTTTGAATTTGGTAAAATCTTGGAGCGGCCGTCATCCAGCAGTGGATCTGGAAATGCTTGTGATGATTTGAATTTTTATCCAAGGATTGTTCCTGTCCATGAATAAAGGTCATAATCGTCTTGAATATCTTCAGCTGTGATTTTTTCCGTACACGAATTGCGTGTGCTATTCTGATCCATAAATATTATGAAAAGTAGTGAAGACGTGCCGTCAGCGAAGTGCAGCGCTCGCTTTAAAAGGAATAGAGTTCTTGTCTTTAATCCGAATACAGTCCCATTAACAATTTTTTGCGTATTTAGTGACCAAGTAGTTGGTCATTCACTGATATTTTTGCAACACTGTCCACAGCTTCGACCGCCACATCCTGTTGCATATCGGTTCAAGGATGATGAAACAGACACAATCCACATCCACGTACTCCCCGCATTTTTCAGCGACTTGAACAGAGTTAATATATTATTTGGTGTATTACGACGACCTAAATGAAAGCAGTCTTGAACCTGCTCATAAATCAACCGCAGAATACTATCCCTTTTCAAGGCTTTTAACACCTCAAGTACGATTTAAGATTTTGACGTCCCCAGTAGCCTAGCCACTTTTCAGCGATTTTATCGCTGCTGATACTTCGGCTACCATAAAACTACTTACTAAAATGCACTTTGTGAGTATCGTCAATATTCACAGAGGCTGGATTTAGGCGAACTGAAAATTATCCGTTTGTTTCTCAGGGATTCCAGCTAGTCAGCTTCAATGGCTGTTTATCCTTTCAGGTTGCGGAGGCAGATGCGTCAGACAGTGTTTTTAGCGTTCCTGATCCTGCGCCAGCACCTGAGTTTCGGCAGCAGATAACCTGAATCTGGAGCAAACTCTGTCAATCTACTTACCCCAGGTCATCTTGACCTTTCTCCGGATCTTCGGGATGACACAGCTGTCCATTGGTGTGTCTCTGACTGGAGATACGACTGAGCCGATTTCCCAGACCATGTCAGTGACATGTGTCGGTGGGCAGAGAAAGCTGGCCTTCTTTTAAATGCTGAACAGGTGGTTGCCTGCTGTTTTCGATCTTCGTTACATAAAGCCCTGGCGTTCTTTCCATCTCAGAATTACTGAGGCTACTCGTGTCAAAGTTCACAGTTTAAGTAGGCTACTGGTGATTTTCGAGGAGCATTGCGACTCATGGATCACTTACTTGCTTTTATAGTTCGACCGCAGTGTCGTATTTGAGCAGGCTTAAGTAGCTAAGGGTGACTCAAAATGACGTTAACCTACTGGCTAATGGAGCAGTCGAGCTAGGTACAGTTATCCTTTCATATCGGCTAGTCCTCTGCACCAGGAGTTTAAATTGGTGTAGTTCTAAAATCTTGTCGAAAAAGAGTGCTTTTGCCTCCTTCGATGCCGAACTGTAGCGTTGCGTCGTTCATCTCTTCCAGCGATCATCAAATGTAATATTGACAAGGATAGTGAATACCTTCTACGTGACTGGCTTGAAACGAATAGGTAATCTCATTGCCATTATCAGCTTCATCCCCTTCTCGGCTCTAAAAGTACGCAATTCTGGTTAGTAATTCTGAAAGGAACCAGTACTTTAACTGGGCGTGCTGCCAAAGTCACTGTGGTAAATTGTTTGGACCGAATTATGTTGTTACTGCAGTTTTTGATTAACGAAGGCGTATGAAGCATCAGAATGCAGAAATATACTATCATGAAAAAATTTAAGCGTCTTGTCCAAAACTATTGACGAAGTATTCATTTCTTCTTAACGAAGTATTCTTCTCACCCAATGATCTTCAGTAGCGTATTAATCATGTAACTGCAGCAATATTTGTATAGAGTTGCATTTTGTTTAGCTAGTCATTTTAACTGCATTGTTTTCATTCACGTGTCGTTTTTGCAGGCGTTTATATTGATGTTATTCGGTATTAGTATATCACGAATCGTTGTGGATATATGTATATATTTTACTTATCTGTTGCAATTTCCTCCTTCATGAATAATAATTCAGATCAAGTAGCGATCAGTCTTAAATTAACTCACCTCGCGTAAACTTATCTCTTAGGCATTTGTTACGCGCTGTTTATATTCTCTAGTGTTCGCGTACCGGCATGATATTTTGCACTGATAACCTAGTTGCAGAAAAGTTTTCTCTCGCAAGAAGAGCAGATCGTTTGGGTCGGATACTGATGTCAAAGAGGAGAAGACATCTTCGACGTTGTGTTCGCGAAACGGCGGGGAATCATTGGCGCTTGATGAGATCGATCGAGTATCTACCATTGATCGCTCAACTAATCTTACGGGTTCCCTGGACGACATCCATTTGCGAGAGTCGTTTGACGAAATTGAGCCGAATAGCTGCCGCAGGAATTCGGCAGAACTCGCTATATTTTGCGTTGAGCTTACTCGCAACAGAGGTACGCTAATAAGTCGTTAACTTTGCTAAATCGTTTTGGCATTGTTCCGTTCAGACTCGATTTGT